TCAAGAGCTTGTCAGATTGAGACAGCTCTTGAGAAGTTTAATTTTCCTAATGCTTGTTGGAAATCCCCTTTCTGAATTTGCAGGAATATTAAGGTTCTTAGTGTGAGCTGTGCAGAGAGGGAATTTGCAAGTAAAGCTGTCAGTGAAATGCAATTGGGTTAGGAGAGGCTTGATGGGCAGCACGGGTGGTTGCGGGATCCATCTCCCAGGGAGGAAGGACACTTGCACAGCCAGCCATGGGTGGCAGAGCTGGGAAGGGGCAGGCGAGCACCAATCATTTGTTTTCTCTCTGCCAGCCCAATGGGGAATGCAGGCAGACAGACAAAATTAGAGCAGTGCCACACGGGGTGCTTAGAAGCAAAGAAAGGAAGGTAACTCTTGTAGTAGTTTTGCTGCTGATTCCCTACCTGCTTCCCAGTGTTGCTGTTCCTGGCTGTCAGAGCAGGTAGGCACTTCTTGTGCTCTGGCTGCCGACTGCTAGCAGCTCGGTGCTCCAGTGAACGTGACCTCTGGAAAGGTGCTGCTGGCATTAACAGGTGCAGGGACAGGGCTCGGAAAAATGCAGACAAAAGCTTTGTTCCCAGCGCTGTGCTTTATGTGACTGGTCAATGCCATTCCCAGGGAGGTAGCAGTAGTGTGAAGGGTTTTTCCTATAGAAAGAAGAACTAAAAAGGTAGTTTCCAAAGAACCAGAGAATAGACAGTGCTCCTTAGCTATTGTCAGTGATGGGAAAGCACAGTATGCCTGTCCACATGGCGTTAGACAACCTGGGTAACCTGTCAATGTCCGACTCCTTTTGCTTGGTTCTGTGTCCAAATAAAGGTCCCTACCTGACAACTTCATGTTCCCTCTGTGTCACCAAGGGGGACACAAGTAAGCAGCCACATTTATAAAAGCAGTGTTCCAGCATGGATTCCTGCTTCCACACCATGCTCTGGGGTCTCCATTGCATGCAGCTGCAATCTGGCAAACCCAGAGGTCCACCACACTGAGCCCACCACAGGCAGGAGCCGGAGCTGAGGCCATGGTGTCTGCGGCTGGAGCTGGGCCCGGGCTGCAGAGCTGAGCGGTGCAGCACAGGCCCAAGTGTTCTGGCTCAGGGCTGTTTCTATTGCATCCCATTGCATATATTTTTAATGAAAGGCAGATAATTTGAGAGTGGAAGTGCCAAGCAAACACCTCCCTCCTAGTGGGAGGCCAGCAGCTCTGCTTGCTGAGGGCTGTTGGCAAGCTGCTCAAAATACAGGATGGCTCGCACAGGAGTTCAAAGATGCAGGCATGCAATCAGCCCATTTTCCTCCTTCCTGAGCAGAAGCAAAATAGTTAAGTGACACCAGAAAGGATGATAATTCCTCCTCCTCCTCCTCTTTTATCACCTGCTATTTTCTTCCTGAGAATCTGGACTCAAAGAATTACTGAAATTAAATATAGCAATTCAGGCTGCCCATTGTTCCCTGCTCTGTAATGTGCCAGAGTAGCACCTTTGTATTCATCCATCCATCCCCATCTCCTCAGATGTGCTGCTCACACAATAGTTATTGTTGTAGAAGGGACCTGGAATGAGCTCTTGCATTATTCACTTCATTTATTTTGATACAATATTTGGAACCACTTCATTAAATTCTCTTACAATGTTCTGTCATTTTTTTTTTTCATCTCTTTGCCAGTGCCTGGCTCATACAGATAATATAACAACAACAATATGGGGTGTGGGGAGGTGGGGGAATAGACTTGTTTTCTGTAAAAGTGGATAGCTGTGAACAATTTAGCTTTATGTGTTGGTCTCAAGATTGACCCCATCCCCTCACTCCTCCTCCCTCCCCCCCCCCAAAAAAAAATAGTTTGAAACACTTCATTTACAAGTAGTAGGGTAGTAGGTATGGGCACTAAATACTTCAGACAATGAAATCATGAACAAAGGAAAACCACACAGTTTTACAGACTATGTGTGGATACACAGAAGAAGACAGGATATATAAACTCCTATTTACTAGCACTGAAAAATGTGCTCTGTTCTCTGCTTCCATACTTTTTTTTTTTTTTTTCATTAATGCAACAGATTAGTCCCATAATTTTTTTTTTTTTTTTTTTTTTTTTTTCTTTTTAATGCTCCAAGTGCTTTTGGGCTGGGGCTGGGCTGATGTAGTACAGCCTCTCTGTTTGCTCAAGACACTGTTCTCTGGCACTGCAGGATCTGTCAGAGCTCCCAGAGATGGAGGGGAGCTCTGCTCCCAGGTGCAGCACACAAAGTGCTCAAAGGGGTGGAGCAGACTCTGACTCAGCAGATTAAAGTCTCCAGTGAGTAGGATGGAAGCTAAAGAAATGAGCTTTTTTTCTACAATGGAGCTTAGAAGATGTACCCACTGCTCTTTCTTCCCAGGTTATTGTTTTCCAGCATTTCTATCCTGCCTTCCCTCAGTGGTCCATACAGTATTTAAGATGCAAGGAACACATAACCTGCACTTGCTGCTCGGTTATATTTTGAGCAGCTTGCCAAAATCACCTGTGTGCTGCCCTCTCTTCCATACTCTCCCCATATACTTCCTCATTAAACTGCATCAAAGGCAGCAGCCTCCAGCTGCTCTACCAAAAGGCAAAACACCTGAGAACACCTGGAGGTGCTTCAGAGAGGTCGGTTGAGCACATCATGGAACACTGAAGGCACGGTACAGCTGTGTCTGTCACAAGCAGCCTCACTTCTGGTGTGGGTCAGACCCAGGTGATCAGACCTTGCATGGTTTTGGAGCACCTGCTAAACATCAAGAAGCCCTGCCTGCAATTTGGGGATGCTGCTAGAAACTTTGCAGTTGTGAGCAGCTTATTAAGTAAGACAGCAGCAGCTAGGAGAAGTGGGGAAATAAAACCATAATAATTTCAGAAAGAGTAGGATAGAGCCAACAATTAAGTCAAAACTTTTCACAGCTAGAACATTCACGTCTATGTAGGTGGAGGGATAGGTGGGCAGGATCTTCCACGAAGCACAGCTGCGGTGTGAAAAAGCACATACTGCTCGTCACATTATGCCACAGAAAATGTTTTCTGGTGATTTAGCAGTAACATGTCAGAATGCTCTGGCACTGGAGATATCCACAACTGATGGAGTGTGTGCTGACTGCTTGGGAGTTGGAGTATAGACTTTGGTGGGTGGTTGTCTGAATAAAAATAATGATAATAAAAAAAAATAAAAAATGTACAGCATCCATGGTGCTGATGGCATGCCTTGAGCATTGCCTTGATTGGGACGCTCAGGAATTAACTGTCTCTTCAGATTAGGTGCTAGCTCTGCAACCACATATGCTTTTCATTTTTAGTATGTAATTAAGCCTCTTGGAGTAATAGAGCCAGTCCTGTGTTTATCTAATGTCTGTAAACAGATATTAGGTTTCACCTATTTGTCCTTGCATTTTTCTTTGCTGTTCCTCATGCAAAGCCAAAATATCTGAGGAAAGGTAAGTACTTTTTTGGCCTGGAAAATAAATAATAATCTAGAGGTAACCTTAGTTCTCAATAAATTAGAAACAACTAGCTATAATTTTACTGCTGAAGACTGTGGAACAGTGGAGTTTCTGTCCCTGAAAGGCCAGAGCTGCAGCTGAGGAGTCAGACTCCAAAATCCTGTAGCAATGACGGCAGTAGGTCTTGAGCAGGAGCCACGGAGGAGAGAAGACCATAGGCCAGACCAGAAGGAATTGCTTAATGCCTTATAACTGTCAACAAGTGGGGCAACAACCATAAATATGAGATGGGAAGAACTAGTTGTGGTGATGGGAGAGGCTTGATTGAATTTTTTTTCCTTTGGTGATATTGGTGCTGACAAAAACTTGTCTTTTCTATATGTATATTTTTGGTGCTGCAGAGCAGCTTCTGGACACTGCAACACACAAGAAGTGTGGGGTGTGTGCTCTCCTCCCAGCTTTTTAATGCGGGCTTCTGCAGCAGCATAAATTTCCTTCTATGACAGATGAGAGCCGCTAAGCCGAAGGCAGCCAAAACTCTTTTTCATCCTAATTGCTCTGCAGACCATTCCTCCCTCGAAAAGTGCCTTTGCTGAAATATTGCAGTGACCATAAATTTTATATGTATTGAGAGAGTAGCATGATTATTTGCCTGTTTAGACTATATTTGCCCCTAAATACAGAGCATGGTTCATAGCTGAGACTTGTTTGTTGATTCATTGGTAGGCAAGAGATTGGGACAACTCTTTAGAAACAAGTTCTTAACAACAACTTGTTTGTAAAGGTTACTGGTTATTTGCTTCCTTAGTGGTGCCAGGCTTTTCCTATCTAGCAAAAAAAAGGCTTGGAACTTGCCTTTGTCCTAGAGTCCCCTGAAAGTCATACCCAGCTGGATGGCAGTGGTGTTTCAGTGGTCACTGGCGGCAATATTTGGGAACAGCACAGGGTGGACAGAGCTTAAGATAAAGCAGGGAGACTCCCCTGGCACGGGGAACCCTGATCACTTTTGAACCACCAGTATGGAATACATGTAAGATAAAAAAGCAGCATCTTAGGGTTTCTCTTCCATTTTTTGAAGGCTGACATTAGATTTCCTTTCTCTTCAATTTGTTTCAGCATCTCATGCTGTTAGTTTGGAGGAATCTCTCGTGCTCATGGTTGTTCTTACATATAGTGTCAAAGGAGAGCAAGCCAGTAATAATTTCCATCTGTTTTTTGTTCATTTCTTTAACCATATCTGTGTCTCTCAGATTGGAGCTGTTGAGCTGTGTGAGATCCCAAACAGTGAGCTGCAGTCTGGCTCAGGTATCGTCAGAGCCATGCAAAGGAAGGGAAATTTCAGCTCATGAAGTCTTGAATTGCCTTGTTGTTTTTGTTTGTTTGTATAATCTTATGGAAAGCAATACAAAATAAAATACTTTGCTTTTGGGAGTGTCTTACGAGAGTTTTTCCCTAAGATCTTGGAGTTTTTCTTCACCTTTTAAAATGAGCTTAATTAAGTAAAACTGGACTCAAAAGACTTTTTTTTTTTTTTTTCAGCTGCTCAAATTGATTTTTTTTTTTTTTCTGGTGGAAATAATAAAAGTGGTTTACTAAAATTGTTTTTCTCTTTTTGTTCGTTTGTTTGTTTGTTGGTGGTGAATTATCATTTGCATGTTTGTTTACTTCAGTTTAAATTACCAAAGAGAGACTAGGGAAAGGCTAATAAGGAAGGCTTTCTATAGGCTCAGCCTCCCAAGGCAGCCCTTTTTCCAGTGGGCAGTTAGCTGTGTTAATAGATTGACATTCAAATACTTGGCATGGAAGATAGAAAAGGAACACTTGACTGGCTGCAGCATAAAACAGGTTTTGAGTTATTCCTAATCTTTATGTAGAAGTCAATTAAATGTCTTACTAGAAAGCAGAGGTTCATGGGACAGAAGCCCTCTCTAGATTTATCAGTCATGGAAACTTTCCCATCACAACAGAGTGATGTTCCACAGAGAGTTTTCCTGTGGCAACAATTATTTTTAATTAGTCTAGTGACACACTATTTTATAACTTTTAGTGTATACAAGATTATCACAGAATAACTAATTTTTTTAAGGCCCTGCAAGCTGTATGGTGGCTGGCATAATCCTTCAGCCACAGCTCCCTGCAATTCCAATTGCAAATGCCTTTTTCAGTCATAAGGCAGTTTGATTTGGGGAATATCCATCACAGACTGATAGGTTTTGTGCTCCCAAAGCCTGTTGGAGCATTAATTCCCCTAGTCTCTGGGCTGCAGCTCCATGGCAAGCTAAAGCAGGGCCATGGGCCTATGCTGCAGCTTGGACATCGAGCTGGGGAGTGTGCAGGCCAAGATTGTATAATGGCTGAAGCTGCTCACCTTAGGGCCAGTCCTAAGCAGACCAGTCTGGTCATTGTGGTTGTAATGAAGTTTTAGCCTCTGATGTGCTCTGGGCAGCAGCACACAGAGGTGAGGCCTTTCTGGAAGCACAGGCTGTACCTTCTTCTGTCCTGGAGGCTGCTGCCTCCAGCCAGGCTCTCAAATCACACGGGGTGAGGAGCTGGGAAGGATTCAGACAGGGGAATGATTAAAAGATTAGAAAGCATCTCAGAGAGAGAGAGTCTGAGGGCTCAGTCCATGTCATCTGTTAAAGGGAGCTTATGCAGTGCTTTGATCTCAACACGTAAGTACTTACATGGTGGACATAAATTTGAACAGTCTCTTTAATCCATAGGCAAAGACCGGCATCAGGGCACCAGGATATGAAGCTGTAGCTATACAAATTCTGACCAGAAATACATTTATTATAGTGAGGGAACAAGCCACCAAGGGTTGCAACAGGTTTACTGCTCACATTTTTTTTGATGTTTTTCTCAAAATCATGCTCTGTTTTGGGCACTGCCACTGGGCTGGACATTAGAAGCCAGATGGTCTGCATTGCAGGAGGCTAAATTAGGTGGTGCTTTCTTTTGGTCCTAAAAAAGTAATCTGGCAGTCTCTGGGCAAGGATCTCTTCAGAAAAAAATAAAAAATAATAATAAAAATAATAATAAAAAAATGTTTTCAGCTCTTACTCAGCTCTAATTGCTTTTAATAGGAACTATGCTATATCTAACTATATCATGCACGCTAACAACTGGTCTTAATTTCATGTAAGTGCATGGACTGCAGTCATTTCTCATTTCACTGAGGTTAATGGAGTTAACTGTTTCCACCTGAGTATTGCTCACTGCCCATAAAAAGGCCTGGCACAGAGCTCACTGTGCTATGATTTCCTCAGACTTCAGTGACAGCTAAATCCTTCAGAACTGAATTCTAATTTTAGCTCCGCCAGAGCACATCCGAATGGCATTACCTGTTGACATTCACATTGTTTTTTCAGCATCATTGTATGTGAGCAGCTCAGACTTTTCCAGTTCCTCTTGACTCACAGTGTTGCCATGAAATAGGGGCAGCCACCTCCTAGGTGGGCTTTGACCACACCAGGCACTCCATGCTCACAAACAGTAGTCCAGAGTGTTAAATGTGGATTTTCTTTCTCAGTGGCTTTATTTTAGAGTAAACCAGGCCAGCCTGACTGTCATTGTTTTTATATACATGTAGCATTTTATTTTTTTTTTATTTTATTTTTATTTTGCCAAATGACTTATCTTTCAGAATACTCCATTTACTGTTATTGTGTTGGTAGATTTAACTTGGTAGATTCAACTTGGTAGTAGGGAGAGAAACTCAGACTCCCACCTCCTGCTTGTAATCCCAGTCAAGCAGTGGGGATGAAATTGTATATTTTGAATAATTCTGTGTGTATTCTCACTAGAATACTGAGCCACAACCTTAACCTTCCCAGTAGTTCATGGTGGTTACAGCTGAGTTATTTGAGTAAAATATTATTTTTACCAGCTACTTGAAAGTACTGCAGCAATTTGATTTATTTTCATTGTTAGTGCTTGTTTGTTTAGCCTTTCAGACAAAATGAACTTGCCATTCATTTAGTACTGATGCCAAAAGAACTATTGTATTCAAAAATAATGGAGTATAACATGCAATAGATTATGCAATAAACATGGGTATTTTGCTCATGCAGTTGCATATATACACAATGGAAATCATTTGTCGGCTTAGGGTATTAATCTTCTTCTGTGAACGGGTGTTTGCCGCTTTTGTATCAGTCCACAGTTATCTCCCACTTCACAGAGGAAGTCTTTGCATCCGATGTCAGGGATAGATCCCTTCTGGGGGTAACATGTTGTCACAAATAAATGAAAAAGTACTTGTCATTATAACTCTTTTCTGCAAAATCCAGATCTCTCTAAATTTGCTGTTGTCCTGAAAAAAATTTAAATAAATAAAAAAGATGGGAAGCTAAATAGATGGAATAATTAAAATCATCAGTTTTAAAGTAGTAGTTAATGTTGAGCTCCTGGTTTATGACACAATGTCTAATTTCAGAGGCACATCGAGCAGACAATAGACTTAATAAAATTAGATAAAAGTTCATGATACCACTGAAAATCAGGCCCTGGCACCTTGATGTGATGATACCTGCTGAAGCTGCTTGCAGCCTGGCATCTGTTTGTGACTCTGTATTCCCCCAACATGAATTCACTGGCTTTGGTACTAACTTGCTTGCAAGATGTAGAATGTCTTAGCAAGGCTTATCCTCTTCAGTAATGTTTTAGTTAGTTTGTTTTAAAATTTATTAACAAGATACTGGCAGTTTACACATGTTGAGAATGTAGCTTTCACTTGTGTATATAGATACTCAGTCACACATAAAACCTAACATAACTGAATTTTAACATCATCATAGCAAAATCAGACTTTTCTTTTTAAAAGTACATCCTCACTTATTTCAGACTAGTAGGCAGAGAGATTAGAACCCTTGGAAGTGGTGCAGAAAAACCAGCAATAAACAAAGAGAAAGAATCACCAGGGTATCCTCATTATTGTGGTGGCATTAATTGAGCATTGTATTTACTCAATCCACATGGCTTGAAGTTAAAGCCTGGAAGGATAATATTACTCTTTTTTTTTTTTTTAAATCAGATATGCCCCACAAATCTCTACAAATAGCACAGCCAGACTACTTGATCTTCCACTAAAAACTGTGCAGCAGCTTGATTTTTATACCTCCCTAATGCACATGAGGATGTACCTGATTTTTCTGTTCTGAGCAGACATCTACTTCAGCTGTAAACTCTTCTGACATCGCTGATGGAGATAATTATAGTGCTCTGGGGGACTTTCCAAAAATAGATGGGAACAGGGAAACATGCATTTACAGGCAAAACTAGGAAGATGCTGGGGAGAATAGGGTGCATACTTCATCTCCAGGCCTTCATTCTTTTCTTGCTTCCCATGATTAAATTTCTGTCTTCCTGGATATCTTCCAGTATCAAGCCATATTAATGGAAATCCTTGCATGCCCATATTATTTGCTGGTGTGATAACTGTGGAGGATCAGGAATGCAGTTTGCATCTAGTGACCCAGTGTGACACCTTAGCAAGATCCCAGTCAAAATGTGCTGTTACATACCTGCCCTGTGCAAACCTAAGGATGGACACAGGTTTCTGTGGGATTTGAGGTCAAGCCATTATATTGTCTGCTTAAAGCTGAAACCTGGCTTGCTGTGATTCAGGAAACAAACTTTTCTCCAATTACAAGAAAGTTACCAGTTGTTAATATTTATAAGCCAATCAGAATAAAATTTGTCCCCTAATGTTACAGTAAAAATGATGCATTTTAGTAGTGGCTTTAAATGTATCGAAATACTGAAAAATGAGCAAGGAAGAAACAAAATACTGCTAAGGGGAAAAATGCAAGCTGCGTGTTGGAGAGGTCTCTCCCTCCTTCTGATGGAGACAAATACCTTTCCTTGGTGGCTTCTCCTCACCTGAGGTTGCTTTGATGAACTATGCTTTCGATGAGGCCTGGACAACTCCGCTGACCATAATGGAAATCCAAATAAATAGTTTTCTGTATTCATGAGACACTCGCATGAAGGTGAGATTAATCTTGCCAACCATAAAGTAGTTTAAAGTAAATTGGTTCCTGACTATTTGTCTTTGTGCAGAAATTCCCTTGCTGAGGCTTCATATCTCTTCCATGGGTCCACGAGTACCTCCATTTGTGTCTCTACAAGCAGAATAAGTGCTTGTTGGTGCTTTCTCTCTCCAGCTGTGCTGCTGTGTGTGTCCATCACCGGCACCATTTGCAATCTGACATTGTCTGCTCTTGCCAGACTGGCTCAGGCATATCACCTCTTCCCTTCTTTGCCTCCAAAGTTCATATTCAGGAATTTGGCCTCTTCTAAGATTGGTCAGGATTGCATGAAACATTCCCATTTTGTCTTGAGCTGCTTGTTGACTCTACATATGCCAGCTGAACCTCGCCACATCTCCATTACATGGCTTTTAATGTACTGGTTCAAGTAACTGTCTGGGACTGGAGAATTTTAAACAAGACACAGAAATAGGAGCCATACACAGGAATTAATGACTGCTGCTCAAGAGCTACAGACCTGATGGTCCATTTTCCCTGTTTAAATATGGGATTTAACTTTATAGCTGTTATCAGCACGAGGAAGGAATGTAACATCACAACCAAGTCCCTTACAGTGGTCCTTCCATTTAAAGCCTGCTGAAGTTGGGATCCTGTATGCTGAATTTGTTTAAATGGGAGGAAAGCAGCTGGTCTCAGCCCAGGCCTTATGAACAAGTGTTTGCATTCAGCCCCAGCAGTCACAGCACTGCTGCTCACTTGGCTGCAGAGTGATCACAGCCGAGGACCAGAGGATTTATTCAAGTCCAGTGAATCACTTGCTGCATGATATGTTCCCTTCCACTCAATAGTTCAGCCCCCCAGCCAGCTCTGTTGTCCCCTGACATGACATTTGGAGTGATGTCACATTGCACTGGCAAAACTTTAGCAAGAGCTACAACAATATTAGCAGGCTGGAGCTGTTGCAATGACCTGAAAAGCCATGTGTAGACATCAGTCATTAGAAGATCCCAGCCTCACAGAACAGTCTAAAAGGCACCATTCTTTTAAGGAGTGAAGGAGGGAAAAAAAATAAAATAAAATATAAACTAAACTAAACTAAACTAAACTAAAATGCCCTTGTTTTGCAGAGTAAAGATACCTGCCAGAGAAGAGAGTTATGGTTCTGAGAAATGCTGTTTTCCTTGTCCTCAAAACAAATGCAAGATTCTTGAAAGACATCAGTAACAATTCCTTTGAGTTTCCCTTGCTTAACAGAAAAAAAAAAAAAAGAGTTGATTATACACCTCTTATTTCTGCTTTCAATGAGCGTCCCACTTCATTAATGGTTTTTCCTGTCTGTCCATGGGCATGTCTACAGCTCCCACCTCTCGGCACTGCTCTGGGCTCCTGTGGCAAAGTGCATCCCCCATCCGAGCTGGCTCAGGTGACCCAGTCCTGCTGGGGAGCTGCCTGTTGGCAAAATTTGGCAGGTTCTAAAATAAAAAGAAAGAAGTCACTGCAGTGTGGAACAATGCTACCTTAACGATGGTGTCTGGGAGACTTCCCCCAGTGCAAGCTTAAACACTTTCTGATGTTTTATTCAAACAAGTGATGTGCAGAGACACATGTTTTAAGAGTGGAGCAGATAGAAAAATGATCTCATTAAATTGCAGAAAAGTAACTAAAAAGGATGGAAGATGCACTAGGTAACTAGATGCATAATACTCCAGAGACACCCAGGAGCATTTCCCAAGGCTACAACAATAAAATATGTAATCAGAAAGAAACTGTGGATACAAAAAACAAGATGAGCTACAGGATTTGTGGAAGACTTTTTTGTGGATTTGTGGATTTGTGGAAGGAAAAATGTTCAGAACAGAATCATTACAGAGGTCATACTGAGGTCAAAAAGAAAGGGAAATAGTATTAAGATTATGAATATTCAGAACATGTAATATTAATGTTCCCCTACTTCAGAAGATTGTTATTGAATTCCCCCCTTGCCTCTTTACTATATTTTCATACAGAAAAGGGTGCAACCTCCTAGCTTGACCTTTAGTGCAGTCTGTAAATAGCTATATTGTCACTATTACTTGGCCAAAACAATATTATTTATAACCACATTACAAAGTGTGAGACAGCGTTTAATGCCTTTATTCTTGTCAAATCACACCTTAACTCCAGCAGTCGCTGATGCTGTTTGAGGAGCAAGAGCTCAGAGCCATGGTGGTGTCACAGGCTGACTTCCAGAGCACAGCAATCGGCTTCTAAATAGGGACTGAGGTGCCAATATTTTGTACCGGTATTCATGGGCATTACAAATTCTCTAGAGTGTGTTGCTTTTACATCCTCACATTCCTCTTCAAGTTGTCATTGCTGGGTTAGATCAGGTATGGAAATAATGACTGGAGAGCCAATAGTTACTGCTGATAGTGTTTATTGGCTGTGCTGCAGAACAGAGCATGGCTGTGATAACAGCCGGCCAAACACCCAGGAATCTCTCCCCATCCCAAAAGCACCAAGCGTTAGTGCTAGAGGGTAGGCAAGCTTTATCTCCGTAAAGTAAACCAAATATTTGGGTAACTTGGAAGTGTACCACAGTGGATTATGCAAAGTGTGAACATTTTTTCAATTTACAGAAAATGGTGGATAGAGACAAGAGGTCAGAAGGATGAAACATGCTATGAGTTAGAATTTTATCAAGTTGAGATTTGGCATCCTGAGAAGAATAAGAAACCTCATTTTCAAAGGCCTCTTTTTTTCTCACGGAGGTATGGGGCACTAAGCAGCTGAAGAAAGATCATTCTTGTGTTTGTGAATGAAACTTATTTTTTCCACCACAGTTTAAGAAAAGGAGAATGCTCAACAAAGAGAAAGAATGTTGTAAGCTGCAGGAAAATGGAAGAGCAGAGCAGTTTAACAAATTGCCACACAGGTGGAGATGAAAGGAGATACAGACCTCAGGATGGGGAAAAAGAGAAGCAAACAATAGACTGTATACAGTGGTTTAAAAGCTGTATTTGACATGGTTTGGGGAGATAAGGAACAACAAATGTAAATGGTTAATTTATCTTAAAAACCATGAGTGAAGATGATTGGCATTCATTCGACATCCATGCAAGAAGAAAGTACCTCAACAGCTTTGCATTGGATTTGGGTATTATTCTGCAAACAAATATTTTTCTGACCCATTTGCAAATGTTGATAGTTCACAGAACCACAGAATCACAGAATCATCTAGGTTGGAAGAGACCTCCAAGATCACCTAGTCCAACCTCTGACCTAACACTAATCAGTCCTCCACTAACCCATATCACTAAGGTCTACGTCTAAATGCCTTTTAAAGACCTCCAGGGATGGTGACTCAACCACTTCCCTGGGCAGCCCATTCCAATGCCTAACAACCCTTTCGGTAAAGAAGTTTTTCCTAATATCCAAACTAAACCTCCCCTGGTGCAACTTTAGCCCATTCCCTCTTGTCCTGTCACCAGGCACATGGGAGAGTAGACCAACCCCCACCTCGCTACAGCCTCCTTTAATGTACCTACACAGAGCAATAAGGTCGCCCCTGAGCCTCCCTTTTTCCAGGCTGACCAATCCCAGCTCCCTCAGCCACTCCTCGTAGGACTTGTTCTCCAGGCCCCTCACCAGCTTTGTTGCCCTTCTCTGGACTCTCTCGAGCACCTCCTTCTCCTTCTTGTAGCGAGGGGCCCAAAACTGAACACAGTATTCGAGGTGCGGCCTCACCAGAGCCGAGTACAGGGGGACGATCACCTCCCTAGCCCTGCCGGCCACACTGCTTCTGATACAAGCCAGGATGCCGTTGGCCTTCTTGGCCACCTGAGCACACTGCTGGCTCATATTCAGCCGACTAGCAACCATCACTCCCAGGTCGTTCTCCACCAGGCAGCTTTCCAACCACTCATCTCCCAGCCTGTAGCTCTGCTTGGGGTTATTGCACCCCAGGTGCAGGACCCGGCACTTGGCCTTGTTGAACTTCATGCAGTTGACCTCAGCCCATCGGTGCAGCCTATCCAGATCCTCCTGCAGAGCCTTCCTACCCTCGAGAAGATCGACACACGCACCTAACTTGGTGTCATCTGCAAACTTACTGAGGGTGCACTTGATCCCCTCATCCAGATCATTGATAAACATATTAAAGAGGACTGGCCCCAGTACCGAGCCCTGGGGGACACCACTAGTGACCGGCCTCCAACTGGATTTGACTCCATTTACCACGACTCTTTGGGCCCGGCCATCCAGCCAGTTTCTAACCCAACGAAGAGTACGCCAGTCCAAGACACGAGCAGCCTATTTCTTGAGGAGAATGCTGTGGGGAACGGTGTCAAAAGCCTTACTGAAGTCAAGGTAGACCACATCCACAGCCTTTCCCTCATCCACCCAGTGTGTCACTTCGTCATAGAAGGAGACCAGGTTCGTCAAGCAGGACCTGCCTTTCATAAACCCATGCTGACTGGGCCTGATCGCCTGCTTGCCCTGCAAGTGCCGCGTGATGACACTCAAGATAATCTGCTCCATGAGCTTCCCTGGCACTGAGGTCAAACTGACAGGCCTGTAGTTCCCTGGGTCTACCCTCCGTCCCTTCTTGTAGATGGGCGTCACGTTTGCTAGCCGCCAGTCGACTGGGACCTCCCCCGATAGCCAGGACTGCCGATAAATGATGGAAAGCATTGCAATGCTTTAGGGGAAATGAATTTCTAGAATGGGGCAAAACAAATGTTGTCCCACATTTTTATAAAGGATGAGAGATTTCAAGTGCCCTCAATATTTAATACCTAAAATTAGATATCATAGGAATGACATGCAATAGATACTTGACAAAAATACAGTTCATTTAAGGAGGAATGCACATAAAAGTTACCCACCTCTTTAGAAATTTTAGTTTGTTTAAAAAATAATTAAACCTTATTTTTTTCTGAGAGTTTGGTCTTATGTTGTCTTTTTTTTTTTTTTTCCTTTTTTTTTTTTTCTCTCTTTACTCTCAGATTCTGAATATAATTAAATGTTTAGAGGATCAAGCCTTTTCATTGGGGTGTGTCACGCAGAATTACTTTGCCTATGGCATCTGGGAATACCAGGACATGTGCCAGGAAATACCAAGCTCTTGCTGACTGGTCTGCAGAGGCCTGCTTGCCTATGGGGTGTGGGTTTCAAACAATAAAGCAACTGGGCTTGGACCAGCCACACAGAGGTGGGTGGAAGGGAAGTACAGTCTGGAGTGATGAAATCACTTTGGACAACTTAATGAAAAAAAATGCTCAGATCCCACTGAGCCATTAAGTGATTGGTTTCCACTTGGAAGCACCCATCTCCTCTGACAAGCCTTTGACAAAACTGTTTCTTTAATTTCATGTGGAACGGTTTTTGACTAAAAGATTAAAAAGACTGTGGGGAGAAAGGGACAGAACAGGTTATGAGCCCAGTAGACAGGAGAAAATGTTTCGTAAAAGAAGAATGAAGTTCTGCATTCATTAAACACAAGGGTAGACCTTGCAAATGTTTGGATTGCTTAATCTTCATCTATGTTGATGCTAAATTATATTTGCAGAAGGAGCACACATACTTTTAAATCTTTCAATATACAATTTAACATTTTCTTTTGATGGCTGCCATCTTAAGTCCTGATATATCAAGTAAGTTAATAGCAAAACATCAAAACTGATTTCCCTGAGATCACCAAGTAACTCCCTTTGGCTAATTTAGAGCTCTGAGGCTTCAGTCAGGACCTTAAACCACAAAGGTGAGCAGGAGATTGAAAGCGGTGTCCCAAAGGGCTCTGAATTCATCTGTTGACTCAGCCAGGCTACCATGGCTGAGCATGCAAGGGTCCTACAAACCCTGGCATCCCTGATAACTCTAGTCACACTGTTTGAATTTCAAAAGATAATGCTCTGAATGCCATGTCACATTAGTAATAACTATTGCCAAGCCCCCTCAAATACAGCCTTTGTTAAACTATGTAAAGAATGTGTTAATAACCTTATAGCCGCATTCATGTTCCAGCTCCTTGGGAGCACTGCTTTTTGTCTCATCTGACTTCTGAAATGTTTCTAAAATGAGCTGTAATGAAGCCTAAGAGGAAAGCTTGACTTTTGTTTTGTTTAAAGCTTTAGAGATCTGTATCTAAATCCCTTCCCCGATTTGATCAGAGGACGTGCATCCCCTCCAGACATGTTGTACAGACCACCTCCAAGGCACTCTGGTTATTGCTAAGATAAGAGTTAGATCAGTACAATCTGTTTTCCCGAGGCCAGTGCTTAGAGCCAGCTGCTGATTGCAGCACTGGCAAAGGATAAGAGTCTGACAAATTCTGTGTTTGCTCTAAGAAGAAAGAGAGAAAGATCCCCTGGCTTCCTACGGAGAACCTCTGAGGGGTAAGAGCAGAGCAGGACCAGAGGAGGGCAGGCAGCGTGGGCTCTGCATGCTGGGGAGAACAGCAGAGCCACGACTGCGGAGATGGGAGCTGCTAAAT